CCCCCACTGCGATGGAAAGATCAGGTGGAGAAGGACTTGGCTTCACTTGGCGTTTCCAATTGGCGTCAGTTGGCACAGAGGAGAAACGACTGGCGTGCTTTGCTGAACTCGGCCAAAATCGCTTAGGCGGTTACAGCGCCAAAAAAGAAGAAGAACTCGGATCCGGGGAATTTTCGATGACAACACTGATAAAAACGGCCAGCTGTTGCCTTTTTTGCGAGTTTGGCGTCCGCGGTAGCCGAGTGGTGAGAGTTGCGTACTACAAGCGGTTGAAGCGATTGCGAACAAATTTCTGGTTTTATTATTTATTTTTTATTTTATTTATTTTTTATTTTATTTGATTTATATATTTAACTTTACCTTCTTTTATTTTCATTTGGTTTATTTAATATCACATTTTTTATTTAACTATTAGTTAATTAAAATTTTTAGAGTTGAATTTTATTAAGTAGTCAACAACAACTAACTGAAAGCAACGTTAAAAAATATAGAACTTATAAAAGACGAATAAAAACTAAATAAATGAAAATTCTACTGGCCGTGGGATTCGAAGCCACGACCTTGCCGCTCGTTAATCCGCAATACTGTCGTCTGTCAGGGAAAAATTATTATGCGCATTTGCGTGCTAGTTTATCTGGATAAGCATGCCCGTATGTCTCGCGTTTAAGATACTATATAAAGAGTGAGCAAGAAGGGAAGAGGAGGTTATTTTTCATGTATAAGTAAACTTAATGTTGCAAAATTATTTAAAAATGCGTGTTTTTCTTACATACAAATTCTTATGTCTAGTGATTTTAGCTAAGAAATGAATAAAATTCACATACATAAGTTAAAAAAGTAATTTTAACTAATATTTGTTGAGCTAAAACTTACATCACGTGCTAATAATGTTTCTTAACATAATTTTAATATGATACTCCTTCGATTTACGATTATTTCAATTCTAATTCAAACTATGTTGATAATTGTAATTTAACTTTTTAAGGGGAAAACCACGCAGACCTGTGTTATAAGAGAGTTTTTAACGATTTCCATGGAAAAACTAAAATTAATTAATTTAAAACTTAATTTCTATTTGAAACCCCAACAGTGTTAGTGGAAAATAACTAAATGAGAAGTTACCGCTAGTAATACGCGGTAAAGCCAGAGAACGTTTATAAACGTTCTCTGGATAAACGGTGACAACTTGTTGATTTTTTTCATTCTTTCAAGTTTCGATTTATTTGCAAGGTTTTTGTTTGATAATGAGCTACAATTTTATAAAAACAAAAATAATCAAAATTATTTAAACAAATAAATTATATACCGGGTGACCGTGTAATTTTGTCAAAGATGAAGACAATGATGATAAAACATTAATACACTATATTAATATCCTAATATTATACATTACATTGAGCTCAATTGCCTTCCCGATTTCTTTTCGAACTCAACAGGACCTTTCTTTTTAAATGCATCTAAGTGGATTGAAATAGATTATCAAAAAATTTGTATTGTTAAAAGATATGTACATACATATGTATACGGTAGTGGCCACATAATTAGGGATACTATTTATTTATACGTTTTGACCGTTTATTTAAGAACTTGAGCATTCTCTCTGGTACATATGTATGTATGTATATACAATTACTACGTATGTATGTATACAAGACTTAGCACTTCGAGTACTTATTAATAGTTCATTATATTTACGCGTACGCCACTGATATGCGAAAAACGTAAGAAACAACATCGATTAAAAAATAATATAATATGCATGAAAGCGTCCTAAATGTTTTTGGTTCCAAAAGTTATTTGAATATAAATTACACATACCGCGTATTTGACTACGCAGCTAAATAAAACGACTTATTTTCGTGTGACCTGTTTCAGTTGTTTTTTTATTTTATGGCTTGGTTTGGGGGCGTATAAAATCAGTAATTATTAATATCCTACAACTCAACGTTTACACACTTGTTCATAATTCAAATTAAAGTTAATTAAAGCGTTTATGACAATTATCACAATATACATATGTCTGTAATATATATGTAGTTCAATTTGATTCCATTTGGAGAGTTGTGTGTGAAGCTCAGCTAATTTAAAGTCGGATTCCACCACCTTTTCCGGCCACGTGAGTGTTGTCAGCATATTCAATGAAATTGTGCTCTTGACGACGAAGGCGTCATCCATATTTGCCATTCTAATTTTGAAATATACAAAAGGTTTCAAAATTCAGTTGTTAATTTTACATGACCGTGCTTTCGCAAAAAGACAATCATTAAAGTAGTTTGCGGGACAGTGCGGAACAGTAAAATCAAGAGTGTACATAGTTAGTTGTTGGCAGTTAAATTAATTCCCCTTTTTCGTTCACCTTGATGATCTTGATGCGATCACATCTCTCGGCTAGTACCTGATCAAAATTCTTGCCTTTGGTTTTGGCAAACCATCCAGAATGATCGGCTATTAAATGGTTCACAGAACAGCCGTCACATTGGAGGATCACCACACCGCTTCTGTACGCTGCTTGTGACACCAGTTTACTGTTTCGTGTGTTGCACAATTTGCAGCGATAAACCAATTCAACTTTCCGCTCCATGCAACGTAAGCGTTTCAGGGTCGTTGGCGAAATCGAACCAGATGAGGATAAGGTGGATTCACCAAACTTTTTACCTGTAAACGTGGTTGCATCGAGAATGGATTTTGGTATTTTCAACGGTTCACAAGTTCTTTGATCGTTAATACTGCATTCTGGTGCTGGTGCAGCCGTGACAGCACCGTCCACTGGCTGTGCGATGTTGTAGAGGACATTCTGGCCGTGTTGCCGCACACTATTAAGTGTCCTCAAGCTAAAGAGGTTACGCAACGAATTCATTTTACACGCTCATCACGACGTATTTATGTACATATATTGCGAAAACCAAGTGAAACAAAATATTGCTGTCTAATTCTATTTGTTCATATGTATTATAGTTTGTTTAATTAGAATTTATATTATTGGATACTGCGATGGAAACGACTAATGCTAAAAAGCTTGTTGCAAAATTGTTTATCATAGCTTTTGGCAGCTGGCAGCGTGTATCGAAACAGCTGAATGCCNAGATGAGGATAAGGTGGATTCACCAAACTTTTTACCTGTAAACGTGGTTGCATCGAGAATGGATTTTGGTATTTTCAACGGTTCACAAGTTCTTTGATCGTTAATACTGCATTCTGGTGCTGGTGCAGCCGTGACAGCACCGTCCACTGGCTGTGCGATGTTGTAGAGGACATTCTGGCCGTGTTGCCGCACACTATTAAGTGTCCTCAAGCTAAAGAGGTTACGCAACGAATTCATTTTACACGCTCATCACGACGTATTTATGTACATATATTGCGAAAACCAAGTGAAACAAAATATTGCTGTCTAATTCTATTTGTTCATATGTATTATAGTTTGTTTAATTAGAATTTATATTATTGGATACTGCGATGGAAACGACTAATGTTAAAAAGCTTGTTGCAAAATTGTTTATCATAGCTTTTGGCAGCTGGCAGCGTGTATCGAAACAGCTGAATGCCTCGTTGAAATTGATAAGGAATGTTAACGAAAGTAACAGGGCTGCCATTTCAACATTTACAGTGGCTACACACGACGAACAAAATTTTTTGATATTTTGCGAGCATACTCGTGAACCACCCTACAAACGAGGAACATGCACCGCAAGCCGTGCTTGTGCGCGGATATGTTCGTTGTGTGTAGCCAGTGTTACATTTATTTTTTATATTCGCGGTAAGTCGGAGACAAGGCGAATTAATATAAGGTGATAGCAGGAGTACAAAAACAAAAATGTACATATATTTTGTTTTTGCTTTGGCGGCATAAACTGTCAAAATCTGTAGGAGTGTGTGTAGACATTCAAACAAAATTTTTCAATTTGATATCAGAAGCCGTGCGGCGAAACACATACACAAAATCAGCTGAGCTAGTAACACCGCCTTATATAATAGGTTCGTTCGCGTAGCTGTTAATTGTTCATGTTTAACCAAAACTTACAAGTTTTTGCGTTCGCGTACGCAAAAAACTTGCAAAGTAGGGGAAATTGAGAGAGCAAAGTGACATTTCATTTTGAGGGGAAGCTGCTGGTTTCTGCTGGAAAAATTTTTGCCAACAGCAATTTGCCAACAGGAAAACAGCTGATCAAAAACAGCTGGTTGGCATTTACGCAAATCACAAAATTGAATTTGATGGTTTGGAAGTTAAAAATTACAAAATGCGACTAATTAAACTTGTAAGAAATAAGTAGTTATTTGTTTAATCAATAAACTGTGTCAGTATAACACTTTGCGATGACTTTTCGTACGTTTTAAATTTTACACTTTTGAATGTAAACAAAAATTATATCAGCTGTTTGTCTAACTTGCAAGTTTCTGCAAATTTTCTGTTCGCGTACTATTTTGGATATTTCTCTCTTGTGAGCGAACAGATGACATTTCGCCGGAATTTGGCAGTTGGTTGGTTTCTGTTGGAGATTTTAAACGAACGCACCTAAATTCGCCTTGGTCGGAGACATATTGCATTATCGTGAGTTTCGCCCGAACCGGTTCGCTTTTTACCAAGAATGATAGGATTCTGGATCGTGAAATAGATGTTATGAGAACCTTTTTCTTTCATGGCAGAAATAAATGATTTCAAAAATTGCTTATTTTGAACTTTAACATTTGATAATTCTTCTTGTTGTTGTTTGCCCAAAAAAAGAAGTATACCGTTATACTCAGCTCAATCATCTCTATCGATTCCAATGTTTATTTTTTTTAAATTTGAGATTTGGAGCCCAACTGCATTTATGCCGTAGTCATAATAGAAATATATTTTTTTTTTACTAAGCTTTATTAACGTCTATTTCGTAAAATATTTGTTGTTGTAAACGCTTAGCCGAGTCCACACATGTACGTAATGTGAAAATGTTGCCCAAGCCAGCGACGCATTTACACATATCGAAATATGTACATATGTAGGTATGTAAGAGCCAGAGTATTATTTTATTTAAAATACTAAATTTTATACTAAGAAATAAATACATACATACATATTTGTAGATAAAAACAATTACACCTTCTTTACGCCTCACGAAATGTTTGTGCGAATATTAGATGTAAATCAATTAGTCTGCCAAGTGTGTTCCGATACTTCAGATAAAATGCCCTTCATGTTTTAGATTAAAATAAGCGCTTGTTTCGTGTTGGAAGCAATATGCTGTAATTACTTATGAAAAAATCACTTGCAAAATTAAAACTTATTACAGCTAACCAAATTGTCGCTCCAACGACGTACAATAATAACACTAACCCTGACCGTTGTTGCTTGTTCCTACTTCAGGTATTGCGAAGACAAACGACAAGCACCCGAAACGTATTAAAGTACCATGTGTAAGGATAGCTGTACCTTCCCAAGCGCCAGCAACCATCGGCGGCTCAGAGATAAAAGTACATTTGCATTCAGGTTTCATTGGTGGTGCCATCCTGAAACAAACATGTATAAATTTCATAGAAATAACTTTTTAAATTTCCTATATATTTTATGCATACCTTGAATTTCGGTCAACAATGTAGTGTTGTCGCTGTATGCCACGTCGTTTATCCAAAATCTCTTGGACGCGTTTCTGTAACTCTACATCTTCGCTTTTAAGTTTTTTGGCTGGCGTAGGTCCATGGTCAGTGAAGTCGCATGAATACAGCTGTCCATTTACTTCTGTGCCATACTCAGAGTAGTTGATAAGTTCATACGTTTTGGTGAAGTCGTCGTAGAAAATTGTGGCATGCTTTGGGGAAATACGACAACAGTGCCCGATGAGAGAAAGATTCACATCAACAGAAGTCTGACCAGATCCAATATGCAAATTGCGATAGCGCATGAAAAATGAAGATTGCAATTCCAAATTGCTAAACCAGCGGTTGTCTTCAAGTATATCGCCAAGCGGAGTTAGAACGGCACGTGCGCGTACTTTACAGCGCATCAACTTCAGTTCAAGGCGCGTTGCTATTTCGTATGCTTTTTCGGCGTCAGTGCGTATGCGTGGTTTGTACTTCTGCTCTTCTTCGTCGGCAGCAACAATGGCAGCAGCAGTGGCTAGTGCTGGATGCAACTGCGGCAAATCGTCGTCTGTAGCTGTTTGATGTTGTGCCAAAATGGATGATGTCTCGCCAGTGAACATGATCGATAGTCGACGTACATCTTCTGGTGAGAGGATTTGCGATGGCAATATTTGAGGTGGATCAGATTGGGTAAGTTCTCGGATACGCTTTGCAGCCGTGCGATTTTGATATTGAACTACAATTTCGGGATGTTCTTGCACAAGTTGTTGTACGCGTTGAAATGCTAATTTCTTTATTAAGTCCACATCTAAATAACGAAGCTCTGCATCTATTTCAACGTTGTATTTAGTATCTTCGTCTGTTTCTTCGTCATCTTCGATTTTTATTTTATCCACATCTGGTTGTTGAGATTGATTTACGGATAATTTTTCTGCATCCTGATCGATTTTTACTTCTTCTTCGCTTTTTATGTGTATGTCTGAAACGCTGTTTTTTACAGATTCCCCGCGCTTGGCACGTTTTTTGTTACCTTTGCCCTTCTTGCCTTTTTCTTCATCTTCTGCTTTCTCTTTATCAGCAATATTGTGGCCACATTTTGACGCCTTCTCGGTATGTTTCTGGCCGTCAGTATTTTCCCTATTATCATCGTCCTCTTCTTCGCTACTGCTTAAGTCAGCTATTTGACCAAGTTCTTTCTGAATTTCACGTAATTTGGCTTTGGCACTTTGAAGTGCTTCCAAATCCTTAAAAACTGATTCAGCTACGCTCTCTTTAGATATTACTTCAGGTGAACTAGGAAGACACTTGCGCCGCTTGACTATGTCGTATCGTAAGGTTTCACGAAGTGATGGTAAGAGAGGTGGGGGATTCTCGTAGTGATACCTAACCATCGGAGGTATTTCAATGGTTTCGCGCGATTTTATTGGCACTTTGATGCGGAAGGGAGGATTACGCATGTGTACGCGTCTAAAGAATTCCATTTTAACCGACTCATGGTCGAAAGGTTGTGAAAATTTGTCCCACAGCCGAATGCGCTCAGTGGCTGAAATACTGCTCACAAGATGATTGTCCTAAAAATGTGTATATATGGTTATAATTTCAGTCTCATGGAAATTTATAGTCTCACAATGAAGTTCTCCACATGGTTTGGGCACATCCATAGGCCAGTTGGCAGAGCAGTCATCGGTGGATTCAGACAATCTTGATGAAAGTATAATGGACAGTAGTCACATGCTACAAGTGGCGCTTTCTTACATGACTTGCGGCAGTAAAAACAAGTCTTCGCTGGTAATGGCACCAGGCCTTGTGGATCTAGCTCATATGGTTTAGAATTACGGCGTACATTACTTGGTTTTTTATTGCCATTTCCATTTTTGCGGAGCGGTTCAACTGGAAACAAGTGCAAAAACTAATAATGCAAAAAATATAGCACTATTGACAAATGTTTTAAATGTACCCTTATCATTTCCAGGAAACTGTGAATGAATTTCCAGCTCCCGCGGTAGCTCAAATTGTTTAGGATTTAATATACTAGCAGCCTTGATGAGCTCATCTAGCGGTGTAGGTTTTTTATTTGGATCCAGTGCTCTTTGTATTCCCACTGGTAATTTTGATAAATATTTTTCCGTAGTGCTAATTTCACTACAAACCGATGCACGGCTGCTGCTGCGTTTTCGTAAGTTACGAAATTTAAATGGTGCCGATTCAGTCTCAATCGAAACTGAAGGGGTACTTGGCCGCGAATTATCTGTGCGTGCGGAAGCTGTTGTGCCAGAAACGCCACGTTCAACAGAGCTTGATTTAGATGGTGGAGTAGGTTTGAGTGTCATGCGACAGTTATGACATAACCACTGTCCGCTCGGTATATCTTCCTCCGTTAATGGCGGATCGCTATGGGAAATAATGCTCTAGCTATAACAAATGGTGTACATATGTGCACACATTTAACACGTGTACTTACTGACACTGCAAATGAAAGCTGGATGGACAACGATCGCAGCACAGGAGATCCCCACCTTCTTCGCAGGCATCGCAAAGGTCATGATTATGACCCCGACCTGGCCGCTTATAATATGGATGTTTTGTATTCACTGGACGCAATGTTATCTTTTCTTCTTCAGATGGCGGGGGTTTAATAAGCGTTTTAATTTGCTGTGTAAAAATAAATTCGTTATATTACCATAAGTTTATAAATATTCTATGTTAAAGTCAAATTATGGATATATACACATGGGCAACTGTATGGCGTTCCAGCATCTGGATTTACATACTGGGACTTACAACTTTCACTACATTTCAGCTAATAGAGCATAGTTTGAATTACCTCCATAATGGGCAAATTCGGATCCACTACCACTTTCGACATGTCTACTATCTTTTAGCTACAAATTTGCCACAAAAACGTTGCTGATTTCTTGCAATAACCAATTTATTCCAAAGGATATTTTGCTGCAGTTATATTGTTTGACATTTGTTCAATTCGATGCTGCGGGAAGTGTGTTCAGTGAATTCTTGTAACCACAATGAGGGTTGTATTTGATAGTGCGTTTATTCACGACTGTTTATTCCACCATGTTCACACTTTGTTCTTTTTCCAAGATATTAAAACATGTAAAAGCGCTAATTTTTCTTAATTTAGGAAAAAATTGTTTTAATTAACTGGCAGTCTCCACAGGATATATATCTTGATACATATGTCAGAATATAATTTGCCAATGGAGACCGCTCATTACTATCCAAGAGTAATATATGTATATCAGAGCTTGCCATCTATTGCCGGCAATTTGCAAGTGTGACAGCTACATCTTCATTTGCACGAAAACTTCGTGGCGGAAACGTTATTGATTTTTTTATGTTAAAGCAAATACTGAGACGGTTTCTATTGTGGTATGCGAGCTCTCGCTTGCTTTCAACTGTCATTTTTGTTGTTTGACAGCTATGTTCTCATTTCGCAGAATTCTTCAGAGTAGCAACATCGTTTATTCTGGAGGCAAAAAGAAATTTCACGTAAGGATTCACCCAAAACCGTTTCTGGCGTATTTTTCTCTCTTTATGCAGATTTTCTCAAACTTTTAAGAGCCTGCAAGGCTTGAACCTTCTTGTTTGGCGTAATCGCCCCTTGGCAGGCAATGGCAAACCTCCGAGCATGATAAAAATATAGTAAGGTAGAACCGCTGAGAGTCACTTTTAAAATTATTGACGTTTCCAAACAATTTAATTTTTAAATTTACTCACAAACTCACACACACATTTTCATTTTCAATCTCAAGCAACAAGGATTTCGATCAATTTCATTTTTTTATTTTCACTTTTATATGATTTTAAAATGTTGGCAAACTTCAAAAAAAAATCATGGCCGACAAATTGAGAGAACGGTTCTACCTAGCTATATTTTTATCATGCCTCCGAGTGTATCTCTGCCACGAAAAACAGCTTCTCATAAAAATACAATCGCCGTTCGGAGTCGGCATAAAACTGTAGGTCCCTCCCATTTGTGTGACAACATCAAGGCGCACGCCACAAATCGGAGGAGAAGCTCGGCCAAACACTAACATATGTGTAAGCGCCAATCTATTATTATTATTATTTCAGAAAAGGCCAAATAAATTTCTGAAAACGCCAAATGAATTTCAGAAAAAGTAACATGTATTTGAGAAAACCTTAAACGTATTTCAGAAAAGGGCAAATGTATTTCAGAAACGCTCAAATGTTTTTCAGAAAAGGTCAAATGTATTTCAGAAAAAGCCAAATGAAATTCAGAAAAACAAAATTGTAATTCAGGAAAGTTCAAATGGTTTTCAGGGCAAGTGTTTTTGGAATACACTTGTGCTTTTATGAAATTCATTTGTGTTTTTCTGAAATATATTTGCCCTTTTCTGAAATACATTTCGACGCCTGGGTAAAANAGCGCTAATTTTTCTTAATTTAGGAAAAAATTGTTTTAATTAACTGGCAGTCTCCACAGGATATATATCTTGATACATATGTCAGAATATAATTTGCCAATGGAGACCGCTCATTACTATCCAAGAGTAATATATGTATATCAGAGCTTGCCATCTATTGCCGGCAATTTGCAAGTGTGACAGCTACATCTTCATTTGCACGAAAACTTCGTGGCGGAAACGTTATTGATTTTTTTATGTTAAAGCAAATACTGAGACGGTTTCTATTGTGGTATGCGAGCTCTCGCTTGCTTTCAACTGTCATTTTTGTTGTTTGACAGCTATGTTCTCATTTCGCAGAATTCTTCAGAGTAGCAACATCGTTTATTCTGGAGGCAAAAAGAAATTTCACGTAAGGATTCACCCAAAACCGTTTCTGGCGTATTTTTCTCTCTTTATGCAGATTTTCTCAAACTTTTAAGAGCCTGCAAGGCTTGAACCTTCTTGTTTGGCGTAATCGCCCCTTGGCAGGCAATGGCAAACCTCCGAGCATGATAAAAATATAGTAAGGTAGAACCGCTGAGAGTCACTTTTAAAATTATTGACGTTTCCAAACAATTTAATTTTTAAATTTACTCACAAACTCACACACACATTTTCATTTTCAATCTCAAGCAACAACAATTTCGATCAATTTCATTTTTTTATTTTCACTTTTATATGATTTTAAAATGTTGGCAAACTTCAAAAAAAAATCATGGCCGACAAATTGAGAGAACGGTTCTACCTAGCTATATTTTTATCATGCCTCCGAGTGTATCTCTGCCACGAAAAACAGCTTCTCATAAAAATACAATCGCCGTTCGGAGTCGGCATAAAACTGTAGGTCCCTCCCATTTGTGTGACAACATCAAGGCGCACGCCACAAATCGGAGGAGAAGCTCGGCCAAACACTAACATATGTGTAAGCGCCAATCTATTATTATTATTATTTCAGAAAAGGCCAAATAAATTTCTGAAAACGCCAAATGAATTTCAGAAAAAGTAACATGTATTTGAGAAAACCTTAAACGTATTTCAGAAAAGGGCAAATGTATTTCAGAAACGCTCAAATGTTTTTCAGAAAAGGTCAAATGTATTTCAGAAAAAGCCAAATGAAATTCAGAAAAACAAAATTGTAATTCAGGAAAGTTCAAATGGTTTTCAGGGCAAGTGTTTTTGGAATACACTTGTGCTTTTATGAAATTCATTTGTGTTTTTCTGAAATATATTTGCCCTTTTCTGAAATACATTTCGACGCCTGGGTAAAAGATTTTCGTAAGCGTCATACGTACCTGCGTAACATACGACAATCTTTTACCCAGGCGACGATTTGTGTTTNTTACTCACAAACTCACACACACATTTTCATTTTCAATCTCAAGCAACAAGGATTTCGATCAATTTCATTTTTTTATTTTCACTTTTATATGATTTTAAAATGTTGGCAAACTTCAAAAAAAAATCATGGCCGACAAATTGAGAGAACGGTTCTACCTAGCTATATTTTTATCATGCCTCCGAGTGTATCTCTGCCACGAAAAACAGCTTCTCATAAAAATACAATCGCCGTTCGGAGTCGGCATAAAACTGTAGGTCCCTCCCATTTGTGTGACAACATCAAGGCGCACGCCACAAATCGGAGGAGAAGCTCGGCCAAACACTAACATATGTGTAAGCGCCAATCTATTATTATTATTATTTCAGAAAAGGCCAAATAAATTTCTGAAAACGCCAAATGAATTTCAGAAAAAGTAACATGTATTTGAGAAAACCTTAAACGTATTTCAGAAAAGGGCAAATGTATTTCAGAAACGCTCAAATGTTTTTCAGAAAAGGTCAAATGTATTTCAGAAAAAGCCAAATGAAATTCAGAAAAACAAAATTGTAATTCAGGAAAGTTCAAATGGTTTTCAGGGCAAGTGTTTTTGGAATACACTTGTGCTTTTATGAAATTCATTTGTGTTTTTCTGAAATATATTTGCCCTTTTCTGAAATACATTTCGACGCCTGGGTAAAAGATTTTCGTAAGCGTCATACGTACCTGCGTAACATACGACAATCTTTTACCCAGGCGACGATTTGTGTTTTTCTGAAAATCATTTGAGCTTTATTAAAATACAATTGTGTTTTTTTTTTGAATTTTATTTGGCTTTTTCTGAAATACATATGAGCTTCTCTGAAATACATTTGAGCTTTTCTGAAATACATTTGTGTTTTTTATGAAATACATTTGTGCTTTTATGAAATTTATTTTGCTTTTACCGAAATACGTTTGTGTTGTTCTGAAATACTGTTAGAAAAGGTGTAGTTTTAGTCCGAGAAATTTGGGATTGCACCTAAATATTGCCACTGATATAACTTATATCTAGCGACCAAAAAGACAGCTGGACAGCAATAAACTTTATCCTGTGAAGACTGCTAGTAATAGGAAAAAATCAAACGAAAAAATAAAATGCTGCGACTATTGTGAACTTATCATGAAAAATTTACATCGACAACCCTAAGCAGTACTGAGTCAACAAAAGAATAGAATAAAAATAGAGCAATACTAAACTAAAAACGCAAAATAAGTTGTCAATAGAAGCGAAGTCAGTACAATACTTATTTGATTCAGTATAAAATGCTTTCGTTTTTCTCTAAGAAGAAGCCAGATTCACCGCCAGTAGAAGTAATTCAAGGTCCTGCGGATCCTACCCAATCTAATGAAAGCGGAGGTGGAGATGATTTCATTTTTGTAGAACGCAAGACTTCTGACAACGATCCTGCTAGGCTACCTACACAAGGTATGGGGATGTATCCACCGATGCCACCCACGTTTGGAATGGGTAAATTTCCGGGACCGCCTGTTTATCCATCGACATCAAGCGCGGCAAGCGGATGTGATACCACGGCGCCAGTCCCATATGTTCAGGGTATACCATTCGAACTGGCGCCCCAACTGAGTACAAAAAGTGACTTTGAAATAACACAATTGCAAGTAGACAGCATTTTAGCATTGCTGACGCGTCAAATGTCGGTGGACGAAAATGAAGAATACAATTTTGCATTGGAAAGGTCGATACAAAACGAGTGCTACTAATGTTTTCGGAGGACGCATGCATGTTGTTGATATCGCTTGTATAAAACAACGTATTTTTATTTTAATTATTATTTAGGTATAAGAAAACCCACGAAATAATAAAATTTAAAAAGCCGACAAAACGCATAATTATTAATGGTGGCTCCGGCNCACGAAATAATAAAATTTAAAAAGCCGACAAAACGCATAATTATTAATGGAGGTGGGCTCCAAATATCTAGGTGGCTCCGGTAGTGTCGATTTGATTTTGTACGAAAAAAACAGCACATGATCAATATCGAGGCTATCAAAGACCATTCAATATTTCATTATTCCAAGATAAATTACTCCTTATGATTCCTTGGGTAAAACAAATTGGCATTTAAATTGGTTTGAACAAATCTTATCCCGGTATGCCATGAAGTATTGGTTACTCGAAACTTTTAAGAGCGGTTACTTTCATTTAACAGCAACCCTACATTTTCAACAGCTGATGTTTACATTTTCGGTCTCGTATGTCAAAAAAAAATAGTTGTGTTCGTTTAGAAAGGTCAGAAACGAGCAAGCAACAAAATTCAGAGATTAAATTCTCCCAAAGAGAGAAACATAAACAGTTTTTCGGCATGGTGTATTGAGTACTCCTTGGTTTTTCGCGAAAGGGGCTTTGCCATGCCGTTTGGAATAGTAGAGAAACTTAAAACGCAAAAAAAAACAAAAAAATTGCGAAAATACGTCGCATGGCGGTCAGAAAATCAAAAAATTTGGTTTTTGTTCAAATTTTCCTTAAGCGGATATTTCGCTTGGTTGTTGTATCAGCATACAGATTTCCCAAGGAGTTTATGGGGAGTGTTGCTGGAGTGACAGTCCTTGACCAGTTATAAATCTGGGTCGTTCCGGTTACGTAGACCAGACTGTCGTGGGAACGGTTGGTTTGTTAAACCGCTTGTGTGGTGTATTTCGCTCGTAATTATTTAATTTTCCAAACAAAAATTTGCCAAACACTGACCTAAGTAATAAAATATATATGTACAAACTTCTTTCATTAGCAAATCGCAACAAGATTGTACATTTTTAGGTTTAACGAAGTTCTTCCCATCACAAATTTGCAACATCCTCTACAAATGAAATGTCAAACTGCGCTCTCTTTATGCAAGTTTTGTAAAACTTGTAAACCTTTTTTGTATAGCGAACAAAACTATTATTAATGTTTGTCTGTACATATGTACGTGATTTCATTTCACTAGCAATCGAAACAAAAACAACATTCCGCGCTTTGACCAGCTTTTGCAACCTATTTTTCGCCCAACCAAGAAATATTACTCACCTCCTTATAATATAGTGTAGACGAAGGTGAATCGTGGTGTTGACGCAATTTCAAAGCAGATCTACTAAAATTTAGGATATTAAGTTAATTTTTCACTTGATAATTAATCTGTCATCGTTTTTTGTTTACATAGCAGTGATATAACAATAATGTCAAGCTCGGCAAAGGCAGGCGATGTCCATGAGTCGGTACCTGATTCGCAACAGCTGCCACAGCAACTATATGTGGAAACATTTTCGGTGTATGTGGTAACTTGGAATGTGGGCACTCGTTTCCCGGATAATATTTCTTTGCGGCCACTATTGGGACTTCAAGGTGTTGATGACGAAAAGGAACAAGTTTTGCCTGACATTTACGCCATTGGCTTACAAGAGGTGAACGTACAACCACAGCAACAAATGTTAGGTCTATTCAAGGAAGACCCGTGGACGCACAAAGTGAAAAAACTACTTCGGGATTTCGACTATGTGGTCATAAAAACTGAACAAATGCAAGGTTTATTACTTACATTGCTAGTGCGTCGGCCACATGTTCAGCATATGCGAGATATTGAGCCCGAGTTCACCCGAACGGGATTTGGCGGTATTTGGGGTAACAAAGGTGCAGTGAGCATTCGCTTTTCGTTATATGGTTGCGCTTTAACTTTTGTTGTGGCACACTTGGCTGCTCATGATCACCATTTGGATGAACGCATTGAAGACTATGAGCAGATTATGGAAAATCACCACTACCATGTACCACACTATCGCGAGATATACGACCACGATTATGTTTTTTGGTTTGGCGATCTTAATTTTCGTCTGATGGGTGATGACAGTCCAGCTGAAGTTTTGGCCAATGTTAAAAAGGAGGAAGTGATGTCTGAACTCATTCAACGCGATCAGTTGTTGCATGTGAGAACTAAGTTGCATAAAGCATTCCATCTAATGCATGAGCGCTTGCCTGCATTCCCACCGACTTTCAAATTTCACGAAGGTACATCGAATTACGATTTAAAGCGCCGACCTGCTTGGACGGACCGTATACTCTATGCTTTGCAACCGCTCAATAAACGCCCCGATGAAAGACTAGCCATCGAACAAAGATCATACAAGTCACATCCAGCCTATAACATAAGTGATCATAAACCAGTGAGCAGCGAATTCAGTATTAAACTTTATCCGAATTATCGAGCAACTTGCGTAACTTTCAAAGAAATCGCTGAGTGGCAAATCGGCGAGGAAAACATAGTGCAATATCTAAAGCCCAATGATTTTGAGGAACGAAATCACGACTGGATCGGTATTTATCGGGAAGACTTTGCTAGTCTGAGTGAATACATAGGGTATGAGTATGTCAATCAAGCCGAGTCACCACCATCGTCGCCGGAACCAAGGCAGGGTACCTTCGAAACACCCGGCACGCATCGGTCAGGTCGGCACCGTCATCGCAACCATGAACGCTTGCGCCGTCAGCAGTTACAGAATGAAGAAGACATTCGCCTCGATTTCTCCGATGACATCAACATGCGAAATGGCGAACGTTACTTATTAATTTACTTTCAAAATACTGGTTTACGTGGCGTCACCAGCGTGGCTGGTGTGAGCAATGTTTTTCGTGCAATTACGTCGTGAGCAATTCAAATCAGCCTTAAAAAAGGTTGACAATTGCGCTATTTATTAATTAACTTTATTGTTTTGTTTTACCAAGTTTTAGATTGTTTATTACACTACTAAAGTCATCTACACAGTCTGTATACATATACATACATGCATATATTTTGCTACAATTGGGGTATTCGCACCTGCCTGGTTATCTGTTTAAAAATTATTATTCTCTATATTTTTGTTGTAAACCGAGTAAAAAACTGATAACCTGGCAGGTGTGGATACCTTAACTATATATGTACATTAGACTGCGCTTTAGTTGTATAGAGAACATTTTTCGTTAAGCTACAACGCAAGATCGCTAGAAATTTGATCTGGTAATAAAAACAAGCTCTGCGAAGAATTTTTAAAATCGGATAACGGAAAGACGTGTCTGAACGCCCCTAAAGTTCAGCATTTTCATGCAATTTTTCACAATGTGGTTAAAATTGCCTATAAGTCAGTGGGAAATTTAATATCTTTTAATGGAACTTGAACTTGTTTTGTCCCCCAATGTCAAATACGGCTAGAATATTTTTAAACTTTCGCCACTTTTAAAGTTATTGAGGGTTTTCGCACGTAAAATTAAAATTTTTTAGGATTACTGATGTTACAAATCCTACAAAGCAAGAAAGCAAGACTCCCCCAGAAATGTTCATTTGGTCATAAAAAATCGGATAACGGAAAGACGTGCCTCAAAGGCCCTAAAGTTCAGCAAACTTATGGAATTTTTCACAAAGCAGTTAAAATTGCCTATAAGTCAGTGGGAAATTTAATATGTTATAATGGAACTTGTTGGGTAGGTACGAAGAAAAAAATGTAGTAGCGAATTTGACACGTAGATCATGGATCCACAGTCTTGCCCCTAAATTTCATACGGGAACATTCCGCCATCCTGGATTTTATGTTTTTTGGGGGTTTTGTGCGATTTGCAAGCTTATTTTGAATTTTTCGAACAAAAGGGCTGTATACACATTTGTAGAGAATTTCATTTTTTCTCCGTACCAATTTGATCTAAATTTACAGGGCTAAAATTTAACTTCTGAAAGCCTAGAAAGTTGTAATTTTACGTGGAAAAAAACCTCAATAACTTTAAAAGTTGCGAAAGTTGAAAAATATTGTTGCCATTTTTGACATCGGGAGAAAAAACTACATCAAATGCCATTAAAATATATTAAATTTCCCACTGACTTATAGGCAATTTTGACCACTTGGTCAAAAATTCCATGAATTTGCTGAACTTTAGGGCCTTTGAGGCAAGTCTTTCCGTTATCCGATTTTTTATGACCAAATGAACATTTCTGGGGGGAGTCTTGCTTTGTAGGACAAAGTTGCAAAATAAGGCGCAGTCCAATGTACATATATATTTTTCAGAAGTTTAATTTTAAGGAAAAACATTGGATTAAGGGATGTCACTTCTAAAAATACTAATCTACTGAATTAATCATAGACAAAAATAATTTGAGAATGTTTCAAAACGCATTTAATCATTGTTCCACAACATTCTAAAGTGCGTGATAAATATACACTAATACAATGAAAAATGTACATGATATGAAAAAGTTTAAATAAATGTTTTACAATAATAAAGAAATGAAATATATATAAGATGATTTTTCTTTTTCAATACAGTACATAGGAGTCCCTACATACATATTAGAGGCTTACGCCGACAGACTTTGCCGCGGCGGCGTTGACAACTTTAAAAATAATCGGTGGCGGCGGCGCAACTGCCCATAAGGCAGATTCCAAAGAGCCATGAGGCTACTACTAATTTTATCATGTGATCTCGTCAGCGTTAAGCGTTCACAATGCTAATTCAGATTATAAATTTATTTAATTCGTTCTTGAATTAGTTTTAAAGTTAAATATTGCTGCTTTCTACTTGAATTGAAATGTTGAGTGCCTAGCGCTGATGGGTGGGCGAACAGAAGGTATGAGGTTTGTACATAATGTGACCAACTATTTCATGGCTTAAAGAAGTACAGGACCTGAGAACAAAAAATTGTATGAAAATAATGAAAAAATGGTAAAAGCAGAATATACAACAACGTTGACAGTGTACCAAATCCAACAACGTTAATTTTTTAATTAACAAGGAAAGAAGTATAAGATGGGGCGGATTAAATATAGTTTTTTTTCACCTTTCTTCAAACTATGTACATGAGAAGCCGATTTCAAACAT